GGTCCTGCCGTCCGGCCTGGAGCAGTCCATGCGCACGCAGGCCCACATGAGGTTCGCCACGGCCTGCGCCGAGTAGCCCCCCAGCTCCGTCGTGCAGTGGGCCATCGCGGCCTCGATGAAGCCTCGGGCAGGCGCAAGGGCGGTCGCCGCTCCTAACGGGGCCCAAAAGTAGGCACCACCACCACCACCACCTCCCTCGCCCCCGTCCCTCTCCCAGGAAAAGGAGGGGAGGGGCAGGGCAGAGATGGGAGGAGGGATCAGCGTGGTGGTGATGCTTATTCTTGGGGCCCGCCGCTCCGGTGAGCTCCAGGGTTGCCAGGGCCCAGGCGATGTTAGAGATGCCCTGGTCTTCAAATTTGTCGATGTGGTCCGTCGCCACCGAGGCCAGCTTCAGCAACATCTCGTCCACCGACGCGGGCCGCGACGACGCGCGCCCCTTCTTGGCCGGGCCGGTCATCTGGGGAGCCAGACAGGAGGAGGAGGAGGAGGAGGAGGAGGAGGAGGAGGAGGAGGAGGAGGAGGGAGGAGGAGGAGGAGGAGGAGGGGAGGAGGAGGAGGGGGGGAGGGGGAGGAGGAGGGGGCGAGGAGGAGAAGGAGAAGCAGGAGGAGGAGGAGGAGGAGGGGAGGAGGGCGGGAGGGGGAAGGGGGAGGGGGAGGGGGAGTGGGAGGGAGGAGTACCCAACCTAACCTTTGGACCCGCCACCGTGCCTCGAGGCACGGAGGGGGCGTGCCCTCAGGTCCTCCCAATCCGCCTCCGGGCCTCAGCCCTCACTCCTGAGAAGTCTTTAAATGACTACCTACCAGACCACCCCAACCCAACCCGAAGACTCGAATTTCGGGTTGGGGGGCTACGGGTCCCATATGTGTTTTCTCGATGTTCCACGACCCCCCCACACTGGAAATCGAGGATAAATTGTGGCCTTCGGGTTGGGTTGGGGTGGTTTGGTGGGTGGTGATTAAAAGATTCGGAGCCCCTCGGCCCAAATCTTCTGGGGCGTGGCGCGGTTCCCCTGGGCTCTGGCGCGTTCTGTCGCGTGACTTGTTGGGGCCCAGGAGAGCCTCTGGACGGGCCAACGGAGCTCCAAGAGGCCCTGAGGGCGGTCCCAGAGGGTTCCGACTCGCTTACAGAATTGTCGCTCCAAGACGCCAAAGATGGACCCGAGACGACCCAAGAAGTCATCAAGACGCCCCAAGAGGCCTCCGAAAGGCTTCCGAGGAGGGCCCCGCGGGGCAAAATTCACTGAAGGTTTGTGGCCCTCCGGCCGTTTCGGCTTCCCGACGCTCCAAGACGCCTCCAAGATGACCCAAGAGGGCCCCAAGACAGCCCAATAGGCGCCCAAGACGGCCCAAGATGGCCCCAAGACGGCCACAAAAGAGACTCCACAAGCGGGCCACGAACCAGAAATTCTAGCCTTCCGCCCCGACAAGGCCCCAGGAGGCCCCCAGAGGCCCCCAGAGGCCCCCAAGAGGCTCTCAAGAGGCTCAAAACGGCCCAAGAGGGGCGCAGACGGCCCAAGAGGCGCCGAAAACAGCCCAACAGGACCACAAGACGGCGCCAAGAGGGGCCCGGAAGAGAAAAAAGGAACCGAGAATCCGATCCTTCCGCCCCAAGAGGCACCCGGGAGGCTCCCAGAGGCGCCCAGGACACCCCCACGAGGCCCCCAGGAGGCCCCCAAGAGCACCCAAGAGGCCCCGGAGAGGCCAACAAGAGGCCCCCCACAAAAAAAACAAGAAGCACCCAAACTGCCTCCAAGAGGTCCCCGAGAAGCCTCCCACGATCCCAACGAACATCCGATAGGCTTCATACCCACAACCCAGACACGGTGGCGGGACAACTTCAGGGCTCGCCGTCCCGCGGGTTCCCTTCCTAGTCCTAGTCATTGCTCCTCCCCGCCCTGCCTTTTCTGCCTGGGCGGTGGACTTGGGCCCCCCCTGCGGGCCTTGCCTGTGACGGGCTGCCTGAGCCTCCCCCGAAGACACACGAGGAGCGAAAACCTCTCAGAAGGCCGAGGGGCCTCTGAGAAGCCTCGCCGCCTGCTGCGAAGGCTTGCTACTTCTCACTTCCCACCCCCTCGCTCGCCGCCGAATCAACACTGGACCAGACGTGTTGGCATCGTGGGGGGGAAGCGCATCTTTCACGTCCGCCCGCCTCGGGGATCTTCCGACCCGGGTCAGTCCAGACCCAGGTCAGTCAGGCCTTGCAGAATCCTGCAAGATCCTGCAAAATCCTGCACCCAAACCCGGGCCAACGCGAAAGCTCCTGCAGGACCCCGCAGGATCCTGCACCCGAGCCCGGGTCGACGCGCCCTGGCCCTGCAGGAGCCTGCAAGATCTGGCGCTCTGGCTGACCCCCGGCGGCATGTGCGCGGCCCAGGGGGGGTGCCCAGGGACGTATTGAAAAACAAAGAGGGCCCATGAAGTCTGGGGAGATACCATGGCCCAGGCCATGATATCTCCCCCCCCCTAGTCCTCAACCCCCTCTCGGCCGCCCTCACGTCCGCCCGCCTCCGCCGGGCCTCCCGCCGGCGGAGCCGCCCGTGCCTTCGTTTCCGCCGCCTGCGCCGGGCCTTCCGCCGGAGGCGAGATGCCAGCCTGTCGATCCCTCCAAGGCGAGGCCCACTCCAGAGCTCGGCTGGGGGCGAGAAGGAGGAGGAGGAGGAGGAGGAGGAGGAGGAGGAGGAGGAGGAG